AAAGAAGAATGTGCATTGGGCTTTGGATTTTTCCCACATTTAACATACCTCTGCATTTACTATTTGTTAACCGACAGTGCACCGAATTACAATCCTCAGCTATGAAACATCAATTATGTAACAATTTGACTGAAAACAAAAGGATTTTTTTATATAACCCCTGCCTGGCAATGAAAGAAAAATTAAGGCAGGCACATTGAACTTGGGAATTTTTTAACGTATGTTGTTCTGTGCAACACTCAGCACTCAACGTTTCCTGGATATCGCCTATCTGAACTTTTTCCTACTAGATGCCCCCTTCTTTTTTAATGCTAACATAAGTAGCTTTTGCTCCTGCAGTTTTTCCTCCTTAATGTCATAGAATGCAACAATTTTATGTTGGTGTTTCAGTTCCTAAAGTGTTAACGGCTCTAAATGGGGGGAAGGGGGAAGTGCAGGTGCAATCCTTTTTTTTTTTTTTAATAGGATTTAAGCAGAACAAGATCCACAGTTTATCAAGGAACTCAAACATCATAATTATGGTAATACATTTTTACATTTCGGTGGACTCTTTCTCTGAGGACTAGGCTATTTCAAAGCCCTACAGATAACTTGATTAATGAACAGAATTAATCCCTCTCAACCTTGGAAACGCTGGGGCTAGGACAGACTGCTTTTGTGATAAGCTCTATTCTCCCCCTAAAAGTTCAGTCATCTAGCCAGACTTTGTTTTTATATGTGTTTTAAAACTGAGTGTTGATATTAGATACTCCCCCATGATTTTTAAGGTCTACTAATACACCTTTCCCCATATTAATGTCTGCTCCGATGCATCTGTGCTTTTTCTAGGCATGATGCTTAGTTTTCTGTATACATCTTGTGGGAAACGGCATCTCTCTTAGAAGTTGACTTTTTTGTGCTCTTTTCCTTCTGTTTCTGTGAAAATAAAACCAGCCCCTTCTCAGATAACAAAAGCTAGACAGATAATTCCCTCCTCAACAACCTGAATAGCTTTCCATCTGGTTTCCTGGTTGCTACGCTTTACCTCGTTTGTAGCAAACACCCTGTCTAATAAAACAGATAGTGGCCGGTAAGGTTTGGCACAGACTGACTTCACAGCACCTGATAACAAAGCTTTTGGCTTCCAATTTCTTTGACTGATCTTCAGCCCATAGTAGGAATTACCCAGTTTGAGCAACACCATGGCAAACCGCCACGTCGTAGTAAAATAAACTCACGTCTTGGTGATTTGAGGTAATGTGTTAGTGGAATGGTGTTTCCAGGCGTTCTCAGCCACACGAAAGCCTTAGCAAAATGCTGGGAGCTGCTGAAGTTGACACTAATACAAAAGTTGTTTTTAGGAGCTAAACCGAGATACCAAAGCAGCTTGTCATCCCTGCTTCCCCTGTGTGTACTGCACTAACCAGCTTGGTTCTTTTAGGTAGTTTCTAGTTATTCTGTTTGGAAACTGAGGAAGTGTTTACTTGTCGTACAAGTTCCCTTTATTTCTGTTGTTTTTCTAAAAAAAAAGAATTCTCCCTCCCACAGAAAAGTTTCTTGCGATTATTAAGAATGAGTAATATACATTTAAGAATCCCTTAAGCCATTATTTCCTCTGGCAGCCAAGATGATAATTAGATTTGTTTTAATGATAGCAAAGTCCATGGTGGGCTTTTTTATTTTAAATGACTGTTAGACACATCACCCACGTCTAAGCAACCTCTTCCCATTTCCATTACACATGTTTTGGGTTAAGAGGAACAAAGCTATGATACAACTCAGCTAACTTTCTGCTAGGACCTCAGCATATATCCAAATGAAAAATCCAGAGAAATGTTATCAGGAATACTCCCCCCCTCCCCCCCAAAAAAAAAAAAATCTTGAATAGAACATCTAAGTAAATAAAGATTTGCTGTGATCTTTCCTAAGATAGGGGAGAGGTGGTTAAGATATAGGAGCTCATGCAACTGTAGAATCCTGTCCTTTATATTGTATTTAGGGCTAGGTTCGGTTTTCTTAAGGTGATGGGACTCAACAGGATTCTAAGAGTCTAACGCTCTACAGTCTTCAGTGAGGAATAAGTTGTGGATCATTTCACAATTTAAAAATAAACAAAAAAACCAAACTCTCTCTTCTAGCGAGCCATTTTCCTTCTCAGTAATAATTAGAGATTGTTTATCTAGAATGTGGTTACATAAAATATAATTAGGACAATACTGATGAGATCAGATTAAAATAAAATTACTTCTAATGCAGTGGGTGCAGCTGCTTGGTTACATTCCCACTCTACCCACCCATGTTGTAGTTGAACCATTTTCTCCGTCTGGTGATAATACCAGCAGCAAGGAAAAACACAAACAACTAAAATGGAACCACAGTTCACACTTCTGCTAGGTTGAGTGCTCGACTGTGTAAAATCACCAACTCCGTTTTCATCATCGACCTTGCAGTTTTTTTCTCCGTTTTTCAAGAACCACCTGTTAGCATTGTGGGATTCTAAGCTTTCCTTGTATTAAAATGTGAAAGTTTCCA